GATGGTAAGTTTAAATTTATAGATATACATAATCGGATGAATGATTTTTAGTTACGTTGTAGATGTCTATGGGCTCCACCCACCTTGAGATATGAGTTCTAAGGTTCCCCCTTCCCCACCCTTCAAACCGAAACGCATTACTGCTTCACGGCAGAAATGGGCAGGGTGGTGATACCTACACACGCGAACTCACAAGAGGTCCTACCACCAGTAATAGACCTGATAATATATTATCTAAATTAAAAACGTAATTTGGTATCCGAAAACAGTCTTGGTTTAAAGTCTCGTGTGAACCAATAATACGACTAACTCAAAGAAGAACTAACTGGAAGTTTCAACGAATTCCCTCTGGTACCGCCCAAGCATAACAGCTATTGCTCTACCGATCCAAACTTTTATTCGTGAAATGATTTCCAGAATATTCCCTGGCCAAGACCCAACTCACGTGTACATTGGGTGGGTGACCACTCAGTACCACTTGCACTCGAAAGACTTCAACCAAAACAAGGTGATGAAGTCATCAGTCATCATCACCGACGACTACGATCGGGTCATTGAAAGGTGAGCGAATCCTAATCGTGAATTGCCCTTTTGATTCAATAACCCTTTTTATAATTGGCCAACCAAACTTTAATTGGTACATAAGGTTCGTCTGGTCGCATAAGGGCCAGTTGTAGGGTCCATTTACACAGACCGGATCGTATACGATTGGAATTGGCCGAAGCGAAGCCGCCAACTATTTTTTTTATTGCCTTTGTAGGCAGACGAGCATACGGTCCACCTGATGGTGAGTGGTTACCGTCGCTCATGGACGTCAGCAATGCCAAGCCGCTGCCTACCATTAAGTACTCTCCGCAAGCCTCGTTTGAAGAAGCATTTCACATAGACTGGCTGGAGGAGATCTGAAATCGGAATCGCAATTGGAGTCGGTCGGCTCCTCTTATTATTTGAGCGTATCGTAGCGCGTTCAAGCATCCTTAGTGACAAAAAAAGCGCACATGCAAAAATAAACTTTACTACAATTACTCAAAACTGCGTTTCCAACGTGATTAAAAATCTGCTCTTCGAGCCGGTCTGTTCGAACGGATCCTTAAAATTAGTCCCTTTTCATTCAGCGTAAACCGTCAGTCCTGCTACATGGTGCGAGCTGATGAGCTTTACAACGAAGTGATGGCGGAAGCTACGGCCAAGGGCGCGTCCCAAGGAATGTTTATTGGATGTTCAGTGGACACTTCCACCGGGACTGTAGCGTTCACATGCGAGGGGAAAAGCACTAGCATTAAATTTAAGGTGATGTTATTTCCATATTCTTTTCTAATTCCATTTGGGAGCTATTGAAATATATTTACGACCGCTTTAAATCTATACTGATATATATAAATCTACAGTGGTTTTTACGGATGTTCCGTTCTAACTACTGAACCATCCATCCGATTGACTTGAAACTTGGTATCCCTGTAGAAAATGCATGTACTTAATAAATAAGCTAATATTTATATGAGTGTTGGGCTCCCTACACCAGTTGCATGGGCGCTAATGATGAGAATCTTTGTGGGGTTGAGAAATAATAATGTTAATTTGAAATGCCCAGAGAAGCGGACGGGTACAGCTAGTTATTAAATAAAATATAAAAAAATCATGTTAATCATTAACATATTGGATATACCGCAATAGAATTATAAAAATAATAGATGATACCCTTTTGATTTTGGAATGATGATGCGTTGAATATCCCAGATGGAGCCAGAGACCAAATTATTCCCGGCGATCTTCGTCGAAGCGACATCGAAAGAGATCCTCCAGATAGAGCTGGGCAGGTCTCCGACAAGTCTGCCGCTAAGTGCCGCGGTGCTACCAACGAGCGACAAGCACGTCACGCCGCAGTTCCCGCCCAGGCTGAAAGTGCAGTGTCTCAAACCGCATCAATGGGCTAGAGTAAGAACCTACTTTTTTGGCATACATTTTTTAAGGCATTTTATAACCTGGTAACTAAGACCTTTAAGCCATGTCTTATTTTAATTTATATTCATATTTTTTATGAAAAATGATAATATGGAGTGAAATAAAATGATATGAGATGAAATATAATCTTAGTAAAATGGTGGTCGTTTACTGAGATTTTTTCAGTGGACTTTTTGGAGGACCACGAGAAGTTACGTCCAGCGGCTTTGTTTCATTTTCCCACATTAGTGCATTTTCACATATACTAAATAATTAATAAACCACCGTTATTACACATTAAAACCTGAAGAAACACTAAATAGACAAAATAAAACAAATCACACAACTTCACTCTACGCGTTCCCGCCAAAAAGTCCTATTGGCATTCAATTTCTTTAGAGCTTCACAGGCCAGTCTTCGTTCCTCACAACTTGAATGACGTCACCTCTTCTCGAAACTTCTGACCAAAGTATCAACTAAAATGACAGCTATGTTCGCTTTCAATCTGGTCGCATAAATATAAACGGTGCGAGATTCATTTTTATTAAAGCCGGTTTTAATGCAGCATTATTATTATGATCTAGGTACCAAATTCATCATTGCAAGTGCACGCCCTAAAGCTGTCTGACATACGAGGCTGGTCGATGCTGTGCGAAGACGCAGTTTCTATGCTCGCATTGCACATACCAGGTGAGTTTCTATCTACGAATAAACAGACCTATTATTTATTCGTAGGTTTCTATAAAATGTCGATTGGGAATAGTGTATAATTTTAACAAATCGTATTCCTGTTGAAATTTGCTGCCCCAAAACCGTTGCAAGTTATGTTGAACCTTCATAAACTCGTTTCACAGAGGAAGACCGGTGCATCGACATATTGGAGCTTATCGAAATGGATAAGCTGTTGAGCTTCCACTCGCACACCCTCACGTTATATGCAGCTTTATGCTACCAAAGCAACTACAGGTTTGTATCACACGTCCAGAACCAGACCTAACATGCTTCCGTCACACGTCTGAGTCCCCGTGATATTTTTATGAGATACTAGCCGACCCGGCAGACTTTATAGTGCCTCAATCGATAAATAAAAAACCTAAAGATTTGTACAAAATAAACTTAAAACAAACAAAAGGAATACGTCCGACGGGGGTCACATCAAAGGAAATTTTTTTTAAAGTAATTCTGAGCATTTTCATATTTATCTACCTTTTAAACCTTCTTTGGACTTTCACAAATAATTCAAGACCAAAATTAGCCAAATCGGTCCAACCGTTCTCGAGTTTTAGCGAAACTAACGAATAGCAATTCATTTTTATATATATAGATGTTGCATGTATACTAGGTTTTAAACATTGGAGTCTGGCGGTCGATCAGGAAGCTGCAAGACCTTTGCTGGATAATTCACTAAACCCAGACTTTTTTCACAGGGCTGCCCACGCTTTATGCCAGCATGTAGATCAAAAGCAATTGTTATACGCCATCAAGTCCCAGTACATGTCCGGGCCACTGCGCCAGGGTTTCTACGATCTACTCATTGCTCTACATTTAGAATCGCACGCAACCACGATGTAAGTAACAAAGTTTTAAGGCTCCGTCAAACAGAACGCGTACTTAGCGCTGCGTTTTAACGTCGCGCTCTTTTCGTGTCACACAAATTGACTAGATGAGCCCAACGCTTCTTGGCGCAACGTAACATTCGCCAAATCATAGTGCCTTTCGATAGCAGTGTGAACTTAAAAAGTATTAAGATGTCGAGTGATTCAGATGTGGCATTGTACAAGCATGGGTATTTTCTAACTAATTCTTTAAATTTTTCGGGCATTATCCAGTATTTTAATACACATTCGTTCAGACGCTAAAATAAAATTTGTAAAAAATTACAACGGCTGACGTCAAAGCGTCTTAACCCTGCGACAGAGCGTTGCACATTGCTAGCTTTTTTTTCCTACCTATTCTGATAGCCTTGAGAGGCTATTTCAGCTTCACCCTAACATGTAGGTGAGCTCGCGGGGCTCAAACTGGAGTGTTGCTAGCACTGGCCCCAGCAAGAGCAGTGCTTCGCAGAATCTACCACTGGATCGGAAACGCGACCCACTGAGAAGATCCGGCGAGAAACTCAGTGGGCCGTACTTCTACCGTTGGCGCTGTGTTTAACAGTTTATTACCATAGTATTACACCACATCTCGGCGTCATAGCGCGCCGTCAGTTTAGCTTTCTGACGCGCGCTAAGTACGCGTTCTGTTTGAGGAAGCCTTTAATGTTTTAACTTTCACGTCAAGTAACAAAGTGCGTTCTTAATTCGAGGTGTATTTTTTTTTTTTGGTATGGTTATTAATATTTCAATCTGTTGAGTTGTAAGTGTAGGGCATATTGTGAGTCACACCGGCGAAGTGCATTTCGGTGTGACGTTTAGGATAGCTAAGGTGACTTCAATCCCGTGGCTAAACCTTTTTTCTTGTTAATTTTTTTACTGGTGGTAGGACCGCTAGTGAGTGCGCGCGGGTAGGTACCACCACCCTGCCTATTTCTGCCGTGAAACAGTAATGCGTTTCAGTTTGAAGGGTGGGGTGCGCGTGTCTATGGGCTTCAGTAACCACTTAACACCAGGTGGGCTGTGAACTCGTCCACCCATTTAAGCCCAAAAAAAAGGTGATTCAGCCCCGTGGCTAATAAGGTTTAGTTCCTGTTCGTTTTGGTCAAAAAACTCCGGTTTGCTGTTCCAAGGGAAACCTGCAAGAATGAATTCGTCATACCCCTGGGGCCGGAGCTGAAGGTTCTGTACGACGAGCCCGACATGGGGCACAGCCTCCGCTCGCTGCAGACGGAGAGCGTCAGACCGCAATTGGAAATGACCGATATCACGTAAGTAGAAATCTCATTCGGACTCTGTCTAATTCATAACCGATTTTGGAACGAAGTTCCTTATGGGACGATGCGGAGGGGAACCGGGAAAAAACGTCCGTAACGTAAGATTTTTTCTATTTAGTTTGTTATCAACAGATGTGGCTGCACGTAAATTCACAGTTGATAGACGTTCTCGTATATCTCTTGCTAAATCATACTAACTTGGCGTAGGGGATACCGTGATCATTCAGGCGGTTCCCACTGGGCGAGGCTCCCCCATGGCACTGCGGAGTGGTTAACCCTTGCGATTATTTTTATTTTTATCAATAAAAAAATCATAATAAAAATTGTATACCCGAATAAATAATAAATATTTTCTTTATACCTCGAATAGAACTTAAAATTAATATTTTTATAATAAGAAACTTCGTTCCTATCCGGTGTCCCACGACACCACATATCTTTTTTGTTTATTTTATTATAGTATTGGTATATCTGGATAATGATACTATCGAGTGCTATATTCGTATATAACACTAGCTGACCCGGCAAACGTTGTGTTGCCTTAAATAAGATATCTAGGGAAATTCTACTGTAGAAAAAAAAATCTCATTTAACCACATAATACCTCATTATAAACAAAAAAAAAATATCCAAAAAATTAAAATAAAAAATAAATGTTTGGGGTGGACAACCCTTTTCACTTAGGGGTATGAAAAATAGATAGTAGCCGATTCTCAGANAATTTTTCTAATGAAATACGTACTCAACAAATGTTCACGATTGACTTCCACGGTGAAGGAATAACATCGTGTAATAAAAACCAAACCCGCAAAATTATAATTTGCGTAATCACTGGTGGTAGGACCTCTTGTGAGTCCGCACGGGTAGGTACCACCACCCCGCCTATTTCCGCCGTGAAGCAGTAATGCGTTTCGGTTCGAGGGTGGGGTAGCCGTTGTAACTATACTGAGAACTTATAACTTATATCTCGAGGTGGGTGGCGTATTTACGTTGTAGATGTCTATGGGCTCCAGTAACCACTTAACACCAGGTGGGCTGTAAGCTCGTCCATCCATCTAAGCAATAAAAAAAAAAAAAAAAAAAACGTCCGACGGGGGTCACATCAAAGGATTTTTTTTTTATTGTCGTTGTAGGCAGACGAGCGTATGGCCCACCTGATGGTAAGTGGTTACCGTCGCCCATGGACTTCAGCAATGCCAGGAGCAGAGCCAAGCCGCTGCCTACTGCAAGTAATTCTGCTTTAAGTAATTCTGAGCATTTTCATATTTATCTACCTTTTAAACCTTCTTTGGACTTTCACAAATAATTCAAGACCAAAATTAGCCAAATCCGTCCAGCCGTTCTCGAGTTTTAGCGAAACTAACGAATAGCAATTCATTTTTATATATATAGATGTTGCATGTATACTATTAAATATTGGAGTCTGGCGGTCGATCAGGAAGCTGAAAGACCTTTGCTGGATAATTCACCAAACCCAGACTTTTTTCACAGGGCTGCCCACGCTTTATGCCAGCATGTAGATCAAAAGCAATTGTTATACGCCATCAAGTCCCAGTACATGTCCGGGCCACTGCGCCAGGGATTCTACGATCTACTCATTGCTCTACATTTAGAATCGCACGCAACCACGATGTAAGTAACAAAGTTTTAAGGCTCCGTCAAACAGAACGCGTACTTAGCGCTGCGTTTTAACGTCGCGCTCTTTTCGTGTCACACAAATTGACTAGATGAGCCCAACGCTTCTTGGCGCAACGTAACATTCGCCAAATCATAGTGCCTTTCGATAGCAGTGTGAACATTAAAAAGTATTAAGATGTCGAGTGATTCAGATGTGGCATTGTACAAGCATGGGTATTTTCTAACTAATTCTTTAAATTTTTCGGGCATTATCCAGTATTTTAATACACATTCGTTTGGACGCTAAAATAAAATTTGTAAAAAATTACAACGCCTGAGGTCAAAGCGTCCTAACGCCGCGACAGAGCGTTGCGTACGGCTAGCTTTTTTTCTCCTACCTATGCTGATAGCGTTGAGAGGCTATTTCAGCTTTACCCTAACATGTAGGTGAGCTCACGGGGCTCAAACCGGAGGTGTTGCTAACACGAACCCTAGCAAGAGCCGTGCTTCGCAGAATCTACCACTGGATCGGAAACGCGACCCACTGAGAAGATCCGGCGAGAAACTCAGTGGGCCGTACTGCTATCGCTGGCGCACTATTTAACAGTTTATTACCATAGTAGTACAACACATCTCGGCGTCATAGCGCACCGTCAGTTTAGCGTTCTGACGCGCGCTAAGTACGCGTCCTGTTTGACGAAGCCTTTAATGTTTTAACTTTCACGTCAAGTAACAAAGTACGTTCTTAATTCGAGGCGTATGTTTTTTTCATTTTTTTTAATATTTTCATTAATATTTCTGTCTGTTCAGTTGTAAGTGTAGGGCATATTGTGAGGCACATCTGCGAAGTGCATTTCGGTCTGACGTTTATGATTGCTAAGGTGTCTTTAGCCTCGTGGCTAAGCCTTTTTTCCTGTTAATTTTTTTACTGGTGGTAGGACCGCTAGTGAGTGCGCGCGGGTAGATACCACCACCCTACCTATTTCTGCAGTGAAACAGTAATGCGTTTCAGTTTGAAGGGTGAGGTACGCGTGTCTATGGGCTTCAGTAACCACTTAACACCAGGTGGGCTGTGAACTCGTCCACCCATCTAAGCCCCAAAAAAACGGTGACTCAGCCCCGTGGCTAATAAGGTTTAGTTCTTGTTCGTTTTGGTACAAAAACTCCGGTTTGCTGTTCCAAGGGAAACCTGCAAGAATGAATTTGTGATACCCCTGGGGCCGGAGCTGAAGGTTCTGTACGACGAGCCCGACATGGGGCACAGCCTCCGCTCGTTGCAGACGGAGAGTGTCAGACCGCAGTTGGAAATGACCGATATCACGTAAGTAGCAATCTCATTCGGACTATGTTTAATTCATAACCGATTTTGGAACGAAGTTCCTTATGGGACAATGCGGAGGGGAGGGGAACCGGGAAAAAACGTCCGTAACGTAAGATTTTTTCTATTTAGTTTGTTATCAACAGATGTCGCTGCACGTAAATTCAACAATTCCTGAATCGCGGTGACGAGATGTTACACAATTGATAGACGTTCTCGTATTTCTCTTGCTACATCATACTAACTTGGCGTAGGGGATACCGTGATCATGCAGGCGGTTCCCACTGGGCGAGGCTCCCCATTGCATTGCGGCGTGGTTGACCCTTGCGATTATTTTTATTTTTATCAATAAAAAAATCATAATAAAAATTGTATACCCGAATAAATATTTTCTTTATACCTCGAATAGAACTTAAAATTAATATTTTTATAATAAGAAACTTCGTTCCTATCCGGTGTCCCACGACACCACACATCTTTTTTGTTTATTTTATTATAGTATTGGTATATCTGGCTAATGGTACTATCGAGTGCTATATTCGAATATAACCTATAAATACTTTATTAATAAACACTAAATAGCATACCAGTCGTTCCAAAAATTACTGTTATTTAAGACCTTAAATGTGAACGAGGTCTAAGAGACCTAGTCCGTATCTTCTTTGTGTACAGCACACGCTGAGAAACACCTGCACATCTCTGTCATTCGGAGTCCGTAACTTTAATTTGCTTTGGTGTAGGAAAGAGATGAATATATATCTAAAATATTGTGTTAAAACAAAAAGTGTGTGGACGTGAACTCATTAATGTTCTTCGTTCACAGGGAAAAAAGTATAATGGACATAAGTAATCTGTACTCTCCGAAGTTCCCACTGGAAGTTGTCCGTGAATTCGTGATGCAGGCACTCGCGGAGGCCGTGGAAACTAACCAGGTCCACAACAGAGATCCGGTCGGTGGAAGCAACGAGAATCTCTTCCTGTAAGTGCTTGCGATATTGAAGTGGCAGTGGGCAGGACACATTGCTCGCAGAACGGATGGCCGTTGGGGCCAGAAAGTTCTTGAGTGGCGACCGCGTACTGGAAGACGTAGCGTGGGTAGGCCTCCCACAAGATGGGCCGACGATCTATTGAGGTTGTGGGGATCCGCTGGATGCAGGCAGCGCAGGGCCGGTCTTTGTGGCGAGGCTTGGGGGAGGCCTATGACCAGCAGTGGACGTCCATGGGCTGATAAGAAGAAGAAGTGCTTTTGCTCTAGTCCTTTTATTTAAGGGTTTTAACCAATCTTCAAACTGCTATTTTATTTTAGGCCGCTAATTAAGCTCGTGGACCGTCTACTCCTGGTCGGAAAAATGCGCGACGAAGACGTTGAGAAACTTCTCATCATGATCAACCCCGAGACCTGGGATCCAACGTTCAATAAAGGTACCCACATTTTTATTAATATCAAGTGGCTTGCTATATCGCCAGACAAACTTACGTACATGAACAATGTCAGTGACAAAGCCAAGCTTTTCCATGAACCCAGCTACTCAACCCTCCTATGAAGATTTGCATGTGACAACACCAAGGAAAGGTTTTCTTCTTAAGCAAACACCCCATGTTCCAGATTTTATCCTGTGCTAAAACTCGTATAAGACTATAAAGTTCGCTTGGGCCCCAAATACCAAGCACATTAATTTGTTCTCGAAATAAAATCGAGGTACCGTAGTAATAATAATTTCTTCTTCTTTGTCCCCATCTTATCCCACTAGGATAGGGGTCGGCACAGCTAATTTTCTATTCCATTCTCCTCTATCAGCCGCTATCTCAACACTCATTCCTCTCTCTCTCATATAGTCATTCACACACTCCATCCATGTATTCTTCAGTCGACCTCTTCCTCCTCTAGTAGTAATAATAATATGATGATCAAAAACGAAAACTCCTCTCTGACGTCAAATGGGCTGGAGTAACAAAGATATCGGTATCAATTCTGGAACCAACTTCTTTATTTCTAACAGAAGGCAAAGACGAACACCGAAAAGGACTTCTTCACATGAAAATGGCTGAAGGCGCTAAACTGCAAATGTGTTATTTGCTCCAACATCTGAACGATATGCAGCTACGTCACAGGGTTGAATCTATAGTGGCTTTTGCACATGACTTTGTTGGGGACCTGCAGTCCGACCAATTGAGGTAAGGACAATTACAGATCTAGGGGTATTGATGTTTGTTCCTTGGAATCCAATATCGGCTGTTGCTTAGTTGAAGATGGTCTTCAAACGGACTGATACAAATATATAACCATAGTACATACCATATAATCTAATTATCTTCTTTCCAAATTCACCTTTAAATAATAATAATAGCTGAAAACAAATCATGCACGGTCATCCGGCCTCAAATTAGGACACCCTGTGTTATGGATACCAAAGACTGATCTATA